TTCTCAATGTCATCTGGTTGTTCAGAGTCAAGTTCCTCTTCAACAGTGATATGGTATGAAGTAACACAAGATGATTCGCCAATGTCTTTTATTTTATCCACTTCTTTTGCTTGATTAGTGAATATAACGGTTCGCCTTCGAGCTTTTAATGTAACATCATTGGTGACATCTACCTCTGTCTTACGTTTCATTCGCGAGGGCACTAGGCTCCAAACTCCAGTATTGTTCACCACGTCGATGTTAGTTTTCTCTGACTTTCCACTCTTGCTGCTTCTTAGTGGTGCATCATTAATAGTACCAATTCGATTAAATACTGACTTTCGAGATTGAGGTTATGGAGATTTTCTTCCTTGGTCATGAAAGCTCATTCTGTTAAAAACAGAGGTACGAGGAAAACTGTTGACATGAGAACTTAAGACATTTGACTTTTGGCTTGACAACCTGTTGAATACAGATGCTCGACCACATGGAGCTCCTATACGGTCAAAGACTGATTTTTGATGCATAGTCTGTTGGTCTTGTTCATCTTTGACTTCTTCAAACCCAATGTAAAAAGTGTTTGACTTCTTATCCTTTTTTGTGATGTGAATTTGAAGTGACTCAGAAGGTACAAAACCAATACCAGACTTGGGTGGAATAATTTTATGCCCTTGATCTTTTAACTTCTTCTATGTCTCATTGAGGCCATTCACTTTCTCACCGTGACCTTTGAATTCAGTTTTTCAAGGTTTGCAAGATTTGTAAAATCATACCCCAACTTCGCCATGAGTTGGTATGCTTTAGGATCGAATCCTTCACCAGTCCTTTGTTTTGGAAGTGATCCATGATTGACCATAGATTGAGAAGGCCGCATGAACCCTTTTAATGAAGGCTTGGAAGGCGAAGACTTTTGAATCTTGGTGAGAGGAAGAGTTAACTCTCCTTTCAGCTTTTGTACATCTTTTTTTTCTTTGGTTTGTGACATCTTCAATTTAAATTCCTTGGTTTCAAGTATCTCATTGACAGGTGACTGCCCTTCTTGTCGTTGAGATTTTGGAACATACTTTGAAATAGGTTTCATCCGATGTGCTTTTATTGAGACCACTCTCGTTTTAGCTACCTTTACAATGTCTGTCACTGAAACATCTAATGGATCACTTAACGCTTCTTTTATTTTTGTAGATTGAACCTCTTGTGTAGATGGATGGCTTGGGATGGGCACTTTTGAAGGTGTATCATGATCGATATAGAACTTAGCATCGACAAAATGAGATTCTGCTTCTGAAAATGGTTTATGGTCTGCCACAACCATTTGTACGCCATTCTTGTATAATTTGAAGCACTGATGAAAAGTCGATGGAATGACGCCATTACTATGTATCCAAGGCCTTCCCAACAATAGATTGTTGGACATCTTTGCATCAATAACATGGAATAAGGTTTCAGCTTAGAGCTCGCCAATAGTTAGCTTCGCCCGAATCATGCCAATAGCTATTTGTCCTCCTTGGTTAAAACCTTGAATAATAAGACGGCTACGAGATAACTCGTCGACTGTGATGCCGAGATTTTTCATTGTAAATTTTGGCATGAGATTCACTGCTGATCTACCATCAACAAGAATTCGAGTAACTTTTTGTTCTTTTATGTAACCGGAAACGAAGAGAGGACAATTATGCTGCTTTGAACCCAACTGAAGATCCTCGTCAGTGAAAACAATTGGTGCATAACATGAATCAAGCGTACTTCTGGCTACTTCATTATCATCAGACTTTTTAATGATGGTTGCATCCCTTACATGGTTCTCTATAGTCTGGGCTTCATCTTAATCCTCGCTATTCTCATCATTAAGGCATGTTTTCTCAGTTGAAACCATGTAAGCTGTCATAACTTCGTCATCTAGATATCCTTTTGGAAAGAAATCTTGCAAAGTAATGGGCTTCTGGATCCCTTTGCTTATAGAGGTATGTTTGGATGATTGTGTCTTCTTGACCCATTTTCTATTATGGCCATACTATCTATGGCGGTATTGAGGTTTCTTCTTCCTTTGCCCCCTGTCAGAATAACTAGTCTGAAAAATGTCAGCTCGTTGCTCCGTGGTTTCTTTCTTGTCACCAGAGTCTATCCTTCTTCATCATCCTGAGGAAGGATTCTTCGAAATGTTGAAACGTCAAATACACTTCCTTGGCCAAGATAGATAGGGATTGGTTTGAATGAGCCAAATTGGATGGTTGTGCAATATACCTCAAAAATTGAAGGTTGAGAACGAACACTCCCCACAACAAAGGTTGTTAAAGTAGCGGTAGTATGATTTGAAGTTACAACTTCGTCTGTGTCCAACAAGATTTTTCCTTGTTTTGCCAGATTCATCACCACCTCTTTGAAGATGAAACACTTCTCAACTAGATGACTGACAATACAATGATATTTACAGTATTTTGGGTCGTTAACACGTCCCATCTCTTGAGGGCGTTTGCATTCAGGAAGTTCTATAACTTTACTTTCGAGTAAACATTCCAATATGCCAGGGACATCGGAATTGGGGAATGGGTATTCCTTCTTCTCTAACTCCTTTAGCATAGGACGCTGTCTTTCCCTCTCTTGAAACTGACGAGGCTTTTTATCATCCTTCTTCTCATCTTTAACAGATATCTTGATTGGGGTGGTTGAGATAGCCATGGAATTTTTAGCAGCAGTCTTTGACGACTTGTCGCCCTTCTTCCAGTCCTTCTTGTCTTTCCGTGGTTCTATGGCCACTGGACTTTTGTCGTCATGAGATTTTATACTGATCTCCATGTTATGGGCACGCATAGCCAATTCTTCAAATGTGCGAGGTTTTATACCTTGAAGAATGTAAAGAATGCCCCATTGCATTCCCTGCATACACATCTCCACAGTAGAGACTTCTGATAATCGATCCTTGTAGTCAAGACTAAGTGCTCGCCACCGATTAATGTAGTCGATTACAGGCTCATCCTTCCATTGTTTCGTGTTAGTCAATTCTATCATACTAACAGTACGGCGAGTGCTATAGAATCTGTTCAAGAATCCTCGTTCCATTTGGTCCCAACTATCAATTGATTCTGACTTCAGGTTAGTGTACCACTCGAACGCGTTTTTCTTTAAGGGGGCGGACAAACTGTTTAACTAGTAAGTCCCCATCGGTTCCGGTATTATTGCAAGTTTTGACAAAATGGGCAATGTGTTGCTTGGGGTGGCCTTTTCTTTCAAATTGCTGAATTTTCAGAGGTTGGTATCCTACGTGCATCCTCATACAGTCGATTCTCCTAGTATAGGGCTTTGAGTACATGAGAGTACTCTGTGAGACACCTCTGTATTGGGCTCAGATTGTATTCATTATCATATCTTGCAATTGTTCGACAGATAATGAAGAGACTGAAGAAGCATGACTGGTTTAACTAGTCGCCTGTTCTGTCACCAGTGTCTGTTTGGGGTCTTCCGTGCGAGTACCTTGTGTGGTAGAATTAGGATTCTCAGTCGGCATTGCTGTGGAAGATGTAGGATTCCCAAACAATGGCGGTGTGAAAGTTGCACGATTCCCAGATGGCGGTGCTGTGGAAGCTGTAGGATGCCTAGATTGTATTGGTGATTCACCAAAGGTCTGAACTTATAATTTGTTCATCAGTGTAGCGATTTGCAAGTCCTTCTCTTTAACAGTCTTTGTGAGGTTCTGAATGGCACGAGACATAGTTGCTAGTTGTTCCTCCACCATGGCAGCTCCAGTCATCATAGCAGTGACCACATCTGAGTATGATAGGCCTTGAGAGTTAACGTTCCTTGAAGTGATTGATTGCTCCGAAGTCTGACGTGGTGACTCTGGGGGAGAACCGACACTAGAGTGAGCATCATAGACGGAATGAGATAAATCTGGTGGTGGAATCTCCTCTGGAACAACGTCAGGGTTTTTGATATGTTGGGTTTTCACGTTTGCCGGTTGTGCAGGAGTGGTTTTCACCAAGTCTTGCTGATTTTTGGATGACGCCATCGCTTGGGACTTGCTACGTGTCACAGGGCCCGCCAAGGTACTTCCATCACTTGCTTTGGCCTTCGTGCCACTTTCTATGGTGGCTTTAGCGTCGGCCTTTGCAGCAGTGATGTTCTTTAGGGCTTTCTTGTCTGTCTGAGCCTTAGGGGGAGCCATAGAATCTGACAGAGACGAAACTTGATGGTGGGAGAAAGAGATGAGAGGCAAAGGAGGTCCCACCAGGTCTGCCAGAAATTTGTACCCACAAATTTTGTTCTCTGCAAATAAAGACAAAATATGGGCAAAATAATAATTTATTAAATTAGAAATATTTGGAATACAATCCTTTGTAATATCTTTTACAAAAAGAATGGTCCTCTAATTCGATCTCCTTTTTGTTGTTAGTTGTATCCAAGGGCTGCACGAGCTTTTTCTTGAATCACCGTGGAATTTGATGCCGTCATTGGATGTGCTTGTTGTTAATCACCGTGGAATTTGATGAAGAACGGTATGTTGTTGGATGTGCTTGATGTTCTTCGCTTTTGGGTTTGGATACTGAATTTGTGTCTCTGACTTCTTAGTCTCTGGATTTCTGAGTCTCTGTACTTCTGAATTCTGAATCTCTGTACCTTCAATTGTTTTTTGTACCCCTTTCTTCTTCCTCTAGGCCTCTATTTATAGGCTTCTTGGATTAATAGGATGATGACACGTGTCATCTCATGATAAGGAAAAAAGAAATCATAACTGGGCCGGGCCGGTTATATTATGATAATTATCCTTAAAATTAATTATTTCAAATATATTTTATTAGGAATAATTATCTTTTCATTTAATCATCTGGGCTGGGTTAATTAAATAATTTAAGTGGACCAAACCTGGACCAATTAAATAGCTTAATTAAACATTATGCCAATATTTAATGGGTCCATTTGTTAAAACCAAAGCCCACTAAATTTTAGTGTCTACAACCCTTATTATTATTATTTAAAAATATAAGCAAACTTACAATTATAGTATTATTATATGGACTTGGAAATCTGGACCTCCCTTTGAGATAGTAGTAATCATGCCATATATGTTATGTCTCCCCATCAAGGCTGGCTAAAAAAATTCTCCTTATATTTCGATTCTGCTTGCAGGTTCTTAGGTTTCTCATGTATGGATACAAACCATTTATCTAATTATAAACATGTTTGATGTGTATAGAAAGTTAAGTGCTACTGCAGTTTTGACATTTTAACTTTGCCAACCAAAAAAGAATGCCTTAAAAGTATGCTACTCTGTTTCATTATACACCAAAAAAGACAACTAGAGCTTGTGAGGGGGACTCGAACGCAGGCATACTTGTGAGGGGAGTTAGGCGCTCTGCTAACTAGGCCAATAGGTAGTGCCCAATGATGTCTTTCCATCATTCACAAAAGTAGACTCAATCCAACTACCAGCTTTCTGCTTCTTAGCACGCATTTCTTTCACCATATTTTTCAACTCAATTACACTGCCCCACGCTCCCTTTTCACCGTGTATCTTTGACAGCATGGTATACACGGCCGGATGACTTTTTTCCAGATTGTAAATTCCTTCTGCTGCAAACTCACCAATTTCCAAACTCGAATGCAAGACGCAGGCCCCAAGCAATGCACCCCACACAACTACATCAGGTTCAAAAGGCATCCCTTTGATCAGTTTCTCTGCTTTCTCTAACTGTCCTGCTCTCCCATATAAATCCACCATGCAAGCGTAATGCTCCATCCCTGCTTCGATCCCATACTTCGTTCCCATAGAATTGAAGTACCTCTCACCATCCTCAACCAGTCCTCCACGCCCACATGCCGATAAAACATTAACAAATGTAATTTGATCCGGTCTAGTTCCACCCTTTGTCATCCTCTCGAACTCCTCCAATGCTCTTGTTGCAAGGCCATGCCTCGCGTAACCACCAATGATCGAATTCCAAGACACCAAGTTCTTCTTCGGTATGGAATCAAAAATGCAGAAAGCCGCCTCAATGTCCCCGCACTTGGCATACATATCGACCAGGGAGGTTGACAAGATCACGTCAAGAGGCATACCGGACTTCAGGATGGTCGAGTGAACTTGAATGCCCACGAGAAGAGAAGAGCAACCCGCACAAGCATCTAGCACACTTGAAAACGTAAAATGATTAGGCCGAGACCCTGATTTGAGCATCGAAAAGTATACTCCCAAACCATCCTTGAACTTCTCATTTTGCACATAACCACTTATCATGGCAGTCCACAAAACCACATTCCTTTCACTCATTTTGTTAAAAAGGGACCAAGCTTTATAAATCTTCTTTTTGGTAATATACCCATGAACCAAGGTAGTCCAAGAAACAATATTCTTCTCAGGCATCTTATCAAACGCTTTCTGAGCCTCAACAGTTAAACCCAACTCCATATAACCCAAAATCAATGCATTCCATGAAGTCACATCTTTTGCTAAAATCTCATCAAACACTTGACACAAACCTTGGCGATCTCTCAAATCAGTGTAACCTCTAATCAATGCCGACCCAACAAACACGCTTGAATTTAGCGCCAAACAAAATATAAGACCATGAAACTGTGGAATCAAAGCGTTAAATGCAGTGTGCAAAACTGCACTAATAACAACAGGAAAGGTGAATTCGTTGGGTGTCAAACCATCCCTTCTCATTTGTAGGAAACAATGATAGACTCCTTTGGTGTCCCTGATCTTTAGCAAACCCGACAATACCGTGTTCCATGAAACGGCATCTCTCACGGGCATTTGATCGAACAGGTCTCGAGCATCTTTCATTTGGTCATGTTTTATGTATCCTGCGACCATGGAATTCCACGAGACGACGTTTTGGGATGTGGAATTGTGATCGAACAGTTGGCGAGCATATTTTAGATTTCCATTATGAATGTGAGAGTTAATGTTGAAATTCAGATGAGCCGTTGAAAGAGTAGAAATATAGCGGGAGGTTGTGAGTAGCACCACACTGAATGGTGTGCGCATGGCGCATAAATATAAGGGCGAGTCGTTTCCTTGCACAAACTAAGCTCAACTAGAGACAACATACTCATTTGCAAATACAGTTTGCTTCCCACTTTTGAGTGCAAAGTTGGGCTTACCAGCCATTTGTTTGATGAGTTAAATTAAGAGAATTAGGGGGGAACTCATTCAGGAGATTTGAAAAATCATCCAATGGCGGATTCTTGCGAATTTTACCAGTAAAGCGCGAATTTACTTCATAGGTGGTAAAAGCGCGTAAATTTGAGTCTTAAAAGGGTCACTTTGCGAAATATCAATTTTCTAAAAATATTAAATGTTAAGTACCGACAAGCGACCAGATCACGACAATATGGTAATTTTTTATAAAAATATGACACTCGAATTCAACAATAAAATAATATATATCACCGCTCTTGACTTTTTTGCAATAAATTTTCATTTACTAAATTTTTGTCCAAAAAAAAAAAAAAAACCCTCAACTAAATGAGGGGGTAGCTTTTAAAATTTTTGCCTAAAATACCCCTACTAACCAAGTTAAGGGGGGATTTAGTTTAATTTGCCCAATTGGTGAATTTAGCTAAAAGTGTTATTTTTTTTTTTTTTTTTTTTTTTTTTTTTTCGAGAATAATATTTCAACTTATATTTTGTGTTACATGTAATCACCATATTTTTAATTAAAGAAAAGTATCGAAAAAAATTTTAAAAGTAAAATTTATATTTATATGCAATTACATATAAGTTTAAATGTTTTATGTTTACTCATATTATATATTATTATACCATTATTATATTATTTATACTATGTTTTTTATTTTATATAATTTGTACATATATATAAAGTATATGAGATGGACATTTTATCAAAGAATTAGATTGACAAAAATAAATTTTAATTACAAAAAAATAATTGAATGTCATAAAATAATAGGCTTTTCTCTCTTTTATTTTTTATTTTTTATTTATTTTTTATTTTTATTTTTTGAATAAAAAAAGAAAAGAAAAATATTATATAATTTAACTATGCTAGAGATATACTAAAGAAATAGTATGTAGTTGCACTCATAACTATGAATTTTAATTTTTAATTTTCTTTTTTTAACTATTTTTCTGTAATTAAAAGTATGGTAATATATGTAATGAAAAATCATTTTGTCAAGAATGATGACTTCTCAAAGCCTACTAGCTCAAATGGAATATAACCAAAATAATGATAATCTAAGCATGTACCTCACAATTTAAATGCTAGTGTACACCTGTGCAAGTGTAGTACTCTAGAATCAATTCTTAAAGCATTTTTAATAAGTAAGACAATGTGGACCACAAAAGTAAGCATGATATCAAAATTTTCATCCAAAAGCATATAAGAAGTATTAGACTCTCAAAACATGCAATTCAATAAGTTAGCTATAGATGTGTAGTTTTTTCAGGTCTCTGTTTGGGTTATCATAGAAAGAACTTGTTTGTGGGCCTGACCCACTATTTATTTTACAAGTCTATAGGTTTATCAGGTGCAAATATTATTCGTGCAGAGTAGAGACTAGTTATCATCATTCTTCTAGGCATCTAGTGTAATACCCATAATTTTAAAAAGATAGTCTCGGTATTTTAATTCATGGTTTTATTTCATTTTTATTTGATTAATTGGCTTATTTGCTTAATTGTTTAATTGTTTAATTATTTAATTAATTTAAGTGGTTATTTATGTAATTGTTTTGTTTAAATTATTTAAATGCTTTATTTAGTTATTATTTTTATTTATTATTATATGCTGATGTGGAAATTCATGCAATTGTTTGTTTTGCTTAAATGTTTTAAATTGTGTTTTTAGTTTTATGGTTTCTCGTAGGTTAGGGTAGCTGACTTAGAATTAGGTTTTAATTAAAGCTTATATATATATATATATATATATATATATATATATATATATATATCATTATAATCAGACTTAGGGTTTAGACGCCTATATATATATTCTTGTATACGTCTGTATAGGGTTACAAACAAACCATATTCACGAATAGAGAGTTTTGAGAGGAAAAACAGAGAGAAAGAGTTGGGGGTTTTGCCACAAACAAAGACTGAACCAAGGAGGGATAATTGATGCTTGCTCGTGGGTTGAACCAGGAGCAACAAAGGTAGGTGAAAGCAATTAAGGTCGCCGGAGTTACTAGAGCAGACGGTTTAAGGTTTCAAAAACTGAAACCGAAGGCAAGTTCCTATTCTAACTCCTTCCCTTAAACCTGTTTCTATGCATGCCTAGGTAGACTCCACGGTTTAAATTAATGTTAAAACATATCTTTTAAGCATCTTTGAACTGTAATTAATTGTGTTGAATTAAACTGGTTAGGGGTTGTTTGAAGTTTCTAATTAAATCTTGCTGCCATTGGTTTTAAGCTTGGTTTAATTCATGTCGTTGATGCATAATAATGTCTTATAATTAATCTGGGACTGAGATTGAACCCTAAGAATATAAATATAAACAGTACAGAGGGTTTGCACATCGCCGGAGGCGAAGAAGATGAATAGAATGGGTAAAACGGCTCGTAGGGAGAGAGAGATGGCTCCCTGAATGGGGGAGCCAGCTCCCTCAATGACAGAGCCGGCTCCCAGGAGTATGAAGCCAGTTCCTAGGCCTTTAGAGCCGGCTCTCACATGTGGGGAGCTGGCTCCCATGTGTTTAGAGCTGGCTCTCAACTTTTGAGAGCCTGCTCTCGCCTTAAAATGCACAGGAATTGGTTAAAAGGCTTTGTTTGGGCTGTATGAGGTATTCTTATGTTGTTTAAATTGCACTAAATAATTTACATAACTGCTATGGACCTATAAAAATACTGGGAAACATTATTACATTAATGTATTAAGGAGTGGAGCAACATGAAGCTAAAGAAAAGCCTACATGTTGAATACTGTTTTGTTAATTTATTTGCTTACTGAAACTTAGCAAATCTTTTGTATATGATTTAATAATGTTTAATCATATTTCAATAGTGTTATAAGTGTAGTGGATTATCTGGAAATAGCTATATTTGGATTTGATTAAATTGATGTTTTAATTTGTTGTAAACTGCATTAATTTATAGACTATTTGGAGGATTTAAATACTTAGACTTATTTTAGCAATTTAAAGGATTGGAACGTGATTTTTAGGTCTTATAATGCATGCCTAATATGGTCATATATGTAAACTTTATTTATGCATGTCTTGGAGTGTGGTTGGTGAGTATTTATTATTGATTTATCAATTTTACTACTTGGAGGATTGTATGCACCGGTATGGGATGGTGGCATACTAGGGATGGATTAATTTAAACACTAAGTCATACCTATTCTGGATTGGGGTATGGATTAACCATAAAGGTTAAGTCCTACTCATATTGGTGTCAGGTCAATAAACAATTGAATGACATACTTTGGTTTTTGGATGGATTTTTATACATATGTCAGGCTACTGTATCAGATGGATCATATTTTGTATTAGGCTTTTACGGACTTTATATATATATCATTATGGTGCCGTGATATGAGCTTGAGTCTCATGATCATGGTTAGGGTGCGTATATCACCTGAGATGGATAACTGGACCTAGTGATGTTCCCTGGTAGGTCTAGGTATACATGACTATGTTATGTGCGATTTGTATGTTACCTTCTATTCAGGCTGAGACAGAATCGTGGGCTAGTGAGCGTCCTATAGTGTGTATTTATACATATATGGACTACTTTAGTTATTGTTGAGCTATCTAGGATGTATTTACGTATTGGGTTTCTGTATGAATTGTGATAGGATAGAACTTACATGTGGGCCTGACCCACTCTTGTATTTTTTCAGGTGTTCGTTAGTTACAAGCTTAGAACTTGATCGTGCTGAGCAGATACAGTCACTCATTCCTCCAACTATATGGGACTGCTTTCCATGTTTAGCTTTGGATTTTGTTTCTGTTGTTTCCTTTTCAGTTTGGGATTTTAATAAGGGTCCGCTAGATGGATTCCCGAGTTGTTTAAGTAATGGAGGTTTTAGATTATTGGATTTTAATTATATTATTTTGAGAATTTTTAATTTAGAATTCTTTCAGTATTATTATTTATTTCTTTAATTCATTTTTGTATTTTGTGTTCAATTACATATTAATTGTTTGGTATCCCTCGGATCTGTGCTCAGACGTGATCACTCGTGGCTCTAGAATCAAGGGGTATCACAGTTGGTATCAGAGCACTCTAGGTTTAATGTCTATAGGGTTAATTCGTATTAAGACTTTCGCGTAACATATTCTCTTGTTTAGAGCTTTAAGATTAGGATTCGTTGTATTCTTTTACGGTCTGTTTAAATCGTATTGATGTCTAGCTTTTGTGTTAATAGAATGGCTAATGGTAGAACCAAAAGGAACAATCAGCGGTGAAGGGAAGTGGTGTGACGACCCAAGTCTTGTAAACCCGGTGCGTTAGTGATGACAAAAAGGTGACCCAATAACATATCCGAAATGTGGAAACGAAATGTGATAAATGGCCTTTAGAGACGTACGTTATCCCTAAGGCACCAAATTGACTCCCCATAAAGCTATGAAACTTGACTAAGCCATGCAAATGAGGCAAGAATGCCAAACCAAAAAGAAATGAACCAAGGGTAAAATGGTCATTTCAAACTGAAATGGATGCCACCTCGCATACCATTGGAAACGCAAAAATAAATAAATGAGGTTGGACTCAAGAATCACCTGATTCGGAGTCCGAACGGAAAAGATATGAAAAGAACAAAACGACATTCTCCGTTTAAGAGATACCATGAACCTATCTCACTCGAACATAAATAACTCTCACTATAGGTGGAGTTTTGAGGTGTAGTTGGTACCATTAGAAAGCCAACTTCAAGCTCTTGAACTTAGACTTAACAACGACCCAATTTGGTTTAAGAATGAAAGAGTTGTGACCCTCTGAAGTTAATTGATCGGTTGGTCAATTAACATCAACCTTCGCAATAGCACGAATCATTGTAAAATAGGGCTATTGGTCGGGTAAGTCGAACCACTGGGACTGCGCTAGTCTTAAGGCAACCTAAGTGTCTAAAGTCATTTTAGAGTGATAAGGGGTGTTCATAGAGGGTTTGTTTTATGGTCACTAAACTAGGAATTCAAAGTGCATAAAATAATAGTGTTAGTAAATGAGAGTTAGAGATAATAAAAGGGGAAACTAGAGAAGTAAATCCACCTACGCCCTAAATACATGCTAAATCAAGACTAAATTGGGGATAAACACTATATAAGCA